GCTGCAAGGAGGTGGACATGCCCTCACTAGCAAATTTATAACCTTACACTCCTGAACCTGCCTCTTTACTCTTTGCAACTCAGCATTACTCTCTACCATCTCCAATCCTTTCTCCCCTAAATCTGGATTTTCAATGTGAAACAATAGATCATATTCACTAAATCCTTGGGCTTTCATCACTGCAATCATATTCAGATATGTTACATCTGAACTGCAGAGCTTCAGCTCAAACATTTCTAAAGCATCAAAATGGAACCTAACATCCAAAGTGTCATCATACAAACTGCAAAATGAAATAACAGACAAAAATGGTTAACAATTTAACCATGGCTAATAAACAATTTTAATTAACAGATAGGTTAACAAGGATTTTTCAACTATTCAGTACCCAAGTTTAACTTAAGCATAAAACAATTTTTAGTTAACATTTAAGCTTTGTTTTACTATTCTCAGATATGTTAACATATAAACACTTTTTAGTTAACATATAAACAAAGCTTTGTTTAAGTTAACATATGAACAAAGCTTTTATTTACCCTTAGCCCTAGTCAACAATTCCAATAAACACAATTACTACAAATCAAACATATTATGAATAAACTAAGAATATGAGAGCAAAGCATAATGATAGTATACAATGTAAACAACTATCTCAATGGGTAGTTAACCCTATGACAGCAAACTGATGTTTTGTATTTTCAGAGAAGTAGTTAACAGAATAATGCTACTCTACTCTAGTTAGGTAACACCTAATCCCAATTTGGACTCAGAAATAACAATGTAAATCATATACAACAGTAGCAATTATAGTGATCAACATGAAGGCAGTAAACCCTAATCCTCAATTTCAGTTAGCAAAAATTGAAGAGTGGAGCACTTACAGAACACCACCGATGCCATGAGTCCACTGATGGGCGGTGCTGGGGTTGGCCACCCAAATTCGCGCCATCCGCAGCCTCTGCTCCATCGACAATGCTGGCTCCGAAAAATCATCGTCGTCTCTACTGTACTCCGACGTGGAGTAACCGCCACTGTCGTCGACGCCTAAGCGGAGGAGGACGCCACCGCCGCTACCACGGTCATCGCCCCGGCCTTCGCCGCCCGCCG